ATTTACTTGTTCCTGTAACACAAGAACTAGGGGTCACCCACTGTAGCAGGTTTAACACAAACACAAGGCAGTATTTCTTCATGCAACTCAAAGTCACTTTGTAGAACCACTTGCCAGAGGATGTTGTGAAGACCAGGGTTAAAAAAAAAAAACTATGTAAATTCATGGAGGATCAGTCCATCAATAGCTATTAGCCAGGATGGAATCCCCAGCCTGTGTTTGCCAGGGGCTAGGAATAGGCAACAGGATCACTTGATGTTACATGTTCTGTTCACGCCCTCTGTGGTAACTGGCATTGGTCTGACCCAGTGTGGCTGATCTTATGTTCTAGTTCACACAGCAGGGTCACCTTGCCTAGTACCCCAAGTCTGTCAGGTAACTGCTCCCTTCCCTCCCCACCCTTAAATGGTACAGATATGCTGGGGGAGGAGGGGTCTGGCCTTAAGCTAACAGGACAGCACTCCTCTGCCCTTGCCAAAGCACTTAGTACCTACACCTGTTCAATAATTCTGTATTGCTGCAGCTGTTTGTTTACAACTTGTTAAAAAAAAATGTGTGGGAAGTGAGTTTATGGGCTAAAGTCAGGATTGGTTTCCTTATGCCTTCCTGGAATAGTTATGAGCACTCCTCTGCCCCTGCCAAAGCACTTAGTACTGACACCTGTTCAATAATTCTGTATTGCTGCAGCTGTTTGTTTACAACTTGTTAAAAAAAATGTGTGGGAAGTGAGTTTAAAGTCAGGATTGGTTTCCTTATGCCTTCCTGAAATAGTTTAGGCTGCAGCTGATTTAACTTGCCTTCAATTTTTCATCCAGTTGGAGTTGTAGCTCCAGTGTTCTTCAAGTCTCAACTGTGTGTGTGTGTTAGCCTGTAACTTCAAAAAATGAGAAGTCCTGTGGCACCTTAGAGACTAACAAAAATAAATCTTATCTCTAGCTATCAATCATGAGCACAACCTGCTTCCTCAGAGGAGCCGTATTCTTCAAGTGAGCTCTGCTCCTACTTCCCTGCCGGTGCAGGACCTATGCCTGTAAAACAGTCCCTGAAGGGCACAGTGGGATCCAGCTCAGACAAAGGGGCTTATTTCCAGGCTGAGCAGTATGTTTATAGTAACTGGAGACTCCGGGTGGGGGGGAGAGACTGTTCTGCAAACACACTAAAAGGCCAGGGTCTCAAGAGTGGGTAAATCTCTGGCATGACAAAAACCTTGTGTCTTCCCCTCGGGTCAGCATCACCCAGGAAAAGGGGAAACACATTGAGGGAAGCCCCCATTCCTTCTCTCTCTACCTTGCTGGCCTTAATGCCCAGCCAAGTTAATGTGTAAGATGAAGGAAAAGGAAATGTTGATGCTCATGTAACCTCTACTTTCCTCTCACCAAAATCTCCCCTGCACCTCCTAGATTCCTTGTTGCAATTCTTCCTCCTCTCTCCCCTGCCTATGAATTGTCCTTAGTTTCCTCCAGGCATTGCTTCTGCAGCATGATGGCAGGTATCTTTGGGTGGGGGAGTCTACAGCCTTTACACTACAGCCCAAAAAACTTTAGCCTGGTAGTAACCCTTGAACTCTGAGCACTATCGGCCAAGATCTTGTCGTCCCCGCCACCAGCATAAATCTGAACACAAATGCTGCAGGACTAACTCCAGAAAAGATCGTTTACCACTGCTGTACCCCGGAAGCAGAAGACAGGTATCCCGTGCACTGCTATAATCTCAGAGAACATGGTTCAGTTCAGCCTCAATCCATAGTGCGGCAGGTCCCAAGAGTTGTGTCATCCATCATCAGTCCTCTGCGCTCTCTAGTACCACAAGATGCTCTAATTGCCTCTTGGAGCTAAAACTTGCAATGGCGTGCCATCATTCCGCTAGGAGCTCAAAGGAGCCAGATGTTGAACGTTGCTTGTAGGCCACAATGCTGTAGAAAATAAAATGACACTCATGTGAACAGCTGCTCCAAGTAGCCAGATTCACGGGGGTGCTGGTTGCATTATTCTAGTAGGAATTTGGCTGGAGGACGAGGAGGGAGGGGGACTTAATGGCTGTTTTAATTGGGGGCACCAGGGCTAGTGTTGGACATGCTGAGGGCCACCCCTCCACCCCACTTGGTGTGTAGAAATTTGTGTCACCAGAAGGGGGAATCACAGCGCAATACAGTTTGAGACCCCCCTGCCCTGGAGAGCTTACGTAGTGCTGTTTCTGTTTGCTGCCACAGGGGGGAGCCAGGCACATTGTAAACCACCTTCTGTCTGAGTACCACTGTTACAATTTAAACTAGGGATGTTTGTTACATATTGGTTAATTGAATAGTCCAGTAACCTCATTAATTTGCATTGGTTAGTTGACTATTCTATAGTCCCTGGGGACAGGGCTGGCAGTGACGAGGGGTGACCGGCGGGAGCTAGGCCGCCAGGGGAGCCCCTTTAAAAACCAGCTCCTCTTGCAGACTGGCTGCTGGTGGCCCTGGGCTGTTGCCTCTGATAAAGAGGCAGTAGTGTGGGGTGACAGCATCCCCTGTCTGGGGTGGGGCGGGTCTGAATGCCCGGACCCGGCCTGAACCGAAACTGAGCCAGGCTGCCTGCCTGCCCAGCTCTTCATGCATTTTAAATGCAGAGCCACAGCGGGGGTAGATCCTGGATCCAGCGTGAGCCAGAACTGAGCCAGGCTGCTGGCCAGCCTGCTAAAAAAATTACCGGGGGCAGGGCAGAGGGAAATGTGTGTAGTCTATAGCAGTAACCTATAAGCTTTTGCTTATTAGTTAATGGACTACACTCTTACATCCTGGCTGCGTCTAGACTGGAATGATTTTCCAGAAATGCTTTTAATGGAAAAGTTTTCTGTTAAAAGCATTTTTGGAAAAGCGCGTCTAGATTGGCACGGAAGCTTTTCCGCAAAAAAGCCCTGATCGCCATTTTCGCAATTGGGGCTTTTTTGCAGAAAACAAATCTGAGCTGTCGGGACTTTTGCCCCAACGGGAGCTGCATAGTATTTCCGCAAGAAGCACTGATTTCTTACAGTAGGAAGTCAGTGCTTTTCCGGAAATTCAAGCGGCCAATGTAGACAGCTGGCAAGTTTTTCCAGAAAAGCGGCTGATGTTCCGGAAAAACTGGCCAGTCCAGACACAGCCCCATAGTTTAAATGGCAGCTGGTAACTAATTGTGCATTGACCTCATGGAAAGCACAGGACACACTCCAGATTATTTACAGCTTCAGTAGCTGAGATAGCAGGCATTTGGTGGTGGGGTGAGTAGCCATGAGCCTGTAGGATTCCATGATCCATGACAATGGTATGGGCATCCTTTTGTACGGATTCTCACCAGGGTCCAGGCCTGCTGCTTGCAGGTAAGCCACCTCCCAGTGGCAAATATTGAATTAACTGTGACCCTACCTCCCCTGGACCAGGCTGCTAGCTGTTGTGAAAGATGTAAGCAGGCTTTGACTCCAGTCTCACAGTGAATAGTCTGCCTGCCAGCTTCCTTGTGGTGAATAATAGCAAACACCAACTCCCGCTAGGGTAACTGCCCCCGTTGGCAGTAGACCGACAACACGGGTATCATAGGGCAGTGGGGCGAGGTGGCTATTCCTGTCTTCCTGTTCCCCTGATACTAAGGGTGGGCCCTAGAGGAAAGTTGACCCTTACAGACAAGTTTTGGAATGGCTGCTATATGCCACAGTAATGAGCATGGAACTTTTCAGCTTAGAAGAACCCAAGGGGGATAGGTTAGTGGTCTATAAAATCATGACAAGTATGGCAAAAGTGAATAAGGAAAAGTTATTTACTTGTTCCTGTAACACAAGAACTAGGGGTCACCCACTGTAGCAGGTTTAACACAAACACAAGGCAGTATTTCTTCATGCAACTCAAAGTCACTTTGTAGAACCACTTGCCAGAGGATGTTGTGAAGACCAGGTCTTTAACAGGGTTAAAAAAAAAAAACTATAAATTCATGGCGGATCAGTCCATCAATAGCTATTAGCCAGGATGGAATCCCCAGCCTGTGTTTGCCAGGGGCTAGGAATAGGCAACAGGATCACTTGATGGTTACATGTTCTGTTCACGCCCTCTGTGGTAACTGGCATTGGTCTGACCCAGTGTGGCTGATCTTATGTTTAGTTCACACAGCAGAGTCCCCCTGCCTAGTACCCCTAGTCTGTCAGGTAACTGCTCCCTTACCTCCCCACCCTTAAATGGTACAGATATGCTGGGGGAGGAGGGGTCTGGCCTTAAGCTAACAGGAATGAGCACTCCTCTGCCCCTGCCAAAGCACTTAGTACTGACACCTGTTCAATAATTCTGTATTGCTGCAGCTGTTTGTTTACAACTTGTTAAAAAAAATGTGTGGGAAGTGAGTTTAAAGTCAGGATTGGTTTCCTTATGCCTTCCTGAAATAGTTTAGGCTGCAGCTGATTTAACTTGCCTTCAATTTTTCATCCAGTTGGAGTTGTAGCTCCAGTGTTCTTCAAGTCTCAACTGTGTGTGTGTGTTAGCCTGTAACTTCAAAAAATGAGAAGTCCTGTGGCACCTTAGAGACTAACAAAAATAAATCTTATCTCTAGCTATCAATCATGAGCACAACCTGCTTCCTCAGAGGAGCCGTATTCTTCAAGTGAGCTCTGCTCCTACTTCCCTGCCGGTGCAGGACCTATGCCTGTAAAACAGTCCCTGAAGGGCACAGTGGGATCCAGCTCAGACAAAGGGGCTTATTTCCAGGCTGAGCAGTATGTTTATAGTAACTGGAGACTCCGGGTGGGGGGGAGAGACTGTTCTGCAAACACACTAAAAGGCCAGGGTCTCAAGAGTGGGTAAATCTCTGGCATGACAAAAACCTTGTGTCTTCCCCTCAGGTCAGCATCACCCAGGAAAAGGGGAAACACATTGAGGGAAGCCCCCATTCCTTCTCTCTCTACCTTGCTGGCCTTAATGCCCAGCCAAGTTAATGTGTAAGATGAAGGAAAAGGAAATGTTGATGCTCATGTAACCACTGCCTAGATTCCTTGTTGCAATTCTTCCTCCTCTCTCCCCTGCCTATGAATTGTCCTTAGTTTCCTCCAGGCATTGCTACTGAAGCATGATGGCAGGTATCTTTGGGTGGGGGAGTCTACAGCCTTTACACTACAGCCCAAAAAACTTTAGCCTGGTAGTAACCCTTGAACTCTGAGCACTATCGGCCAAGATCTTGTCGTCCCCGCCACCAGCATAAATCTGAACACAAATGCTGCAGGACTAACTCCAGAAAAGATCGTTTACCACTGCTGTACCCCGGAAGCAGAAGACAGGTATCCCGTGCACTGCTATAATCTCAGAGAACATGGTTCAGTTCAGCCTCAATCCAAAGTGCGGCAGGTCCCAAGAGTTGTGTCATCCATCATCAGTCCTCTGCGCTCTCTAGTACCACAAGATGCTCTAATTGCCTCTTGGAGCTAAAACTTGCAATGGCGTGCCATCATTCCGCTAGGAGCTCAAAGGAGCCAGATGTTGAACGTTGCTTGTAGGCCACAATGCTGTAGAAAATAAAATGACACATGTGAACAGCTGCTCCAAGTAGCCAGATTCACGGGGGTGCTGGTTGCATTATTCTACTAGGAATTTGGCTGGAGGACGAGGAGGGAGGGGGACTTAATGGCTGTTTTAATTGGGGGCACCAGGGCTAGTGTTGGACATGCTGAGGGCCACTCCTCCACCCAACTTGGTGTGTAGAAATTTGTGTCACCAGAAGGGGGAATCACAGCGCAATACAGTTTGAGACCCCCCTGCCCTGGAGAGCTTACGTAGTGCTGTTTCTGTTTGCTGCCACAGGGGGGAGCCAGGCACATTGTAAACCACCTTCTGTCTGAGTACCACTGTTACAATTTAAACTAGGGATGTTTGTTACATATTGGTTAATTGAATAGTCCAGTAACCTCATTAATTTGCATTGGTTAGTTGACTATTCTATAGTCCCTGGGGACAGGGCTGGCAGTGACGAGGGGTGACCGGCGGGAGCTAGGCCGCCAGGGGAGCCCCTTTAAAAACCAGCTCCTCTTGCAGACTGGCTGCTGGTGGCCCTGGGCTGTTGCCTCTGATAAAGAGGCAGTAGTGTGGGGTGACAGCATCCCCTGTCTGGGGTGGGGCGGGTCTGAATGCCCGGACCCGGCCTGAACCGAAACTGAGCCAGGCTGCCTGCCCGCCCAGCTCTTCATGCATTTTAAATGCAGAGCCACAGCGGGGGTAGATCCTGGATCCAGCGTGAGCCAGAACTGAGCCAGGCTGCTGGCCAGCCTGCTAAAAAAATTACCGGGGGCAGGGCAGAGGGAAATGTGTGTAGTCACCTATAAGCTTTTGCTTATTAGTTAATGGACTACACTCTTACATCCTGGCTGCGTCTAGACTGGAATGATTTTCCGGAAATGCTTTTAACGGAAAAGTTTTCCGTTAAAAGCATTTTCGGAACAGAGCATCTAGATTGGCACGGACGCTTTTCCGCAAAAGCACTTTTTGCGGAAAAGCTTCCGTGCCAATCTAGACATGCTTTTCCGCAAAAAAGCCCCGATCGGCATTTTCACGATTGGGGCTTTTTTGCAGAAAACAAATCTGAGCTGTCTACACTGGCCCTTTTGCGCAAAAGTTTTGCGCAAAAGGGACTTTTGCCCGAACGGGAGCTGCATAGTATTTCCGCAAGAAGCACTGATTTCTTACAGTAGGAAGTCAGTGCTTTTCCGGAAATTCAAGCGGCCAATGTAGACAGCTGGCAAGTTTTTCCAGAAAAGCGGCTGATGTTCCGGAAAAACTGGCCAGTCCAGACACAGCCCCATAGTTTAAATGGCAGCTGGTAACTAATTGTGCACTGACCTCATGGAAAGCACAGGACACACTCCAGATTATTTACAGCTTCAGTAGTGAGATAGCAGACATTTGGTGGTGGGGTGAGTAGCCATGAGCCTGTAGGATTCCATGATCCATGACAATGGTATGGGCATCCTTTTGTACGGATTCTCACCAGGGTCCAGGCCTGCTGCTTGCAGGTAAGCCACCTCCCAGTGGCAAATATTGAATTAACTGTGACCCTACCTCCCCTGGACCAGGCTGCTAGCTGTTGTGAAAGATGTAAGCAGGCTTTGACTCCAGTCTCACAGTGAATAGTCTGCCTGCCAGCTTCCTTGTGGTGAATAATAGCAAACACCCACTCCCGCTAGGGTAACTTCCCCCGTTGGCAGTAGATCGACAACATGGGTATCATAGGGCAGTGGGGCGAGGTGGCTATTCCTGTCTTCCTGTTCCCCTGATACTAAGGGTGGGCCCTAGAGGAAAGTTGACCCTTACAGACAAGTCCAGAAGGACTTTTATTTAGGGAGCATTTATTTTTGTTCTGCCATTAGCACCGCATGACCACAAACTGGGGAGTAGGGGAGTCTCAGGATGGTCTCCTCTAAGGTAAAAATGGCTTTGAGTTGCTCATTGAGCCGTGATTCAGCTCCATCCTTCCAGAGGTGATTATGGCACAGGGCTTCCATTTCCTCTTTGCATAGCAGTGCCTATATCCAGCAGTTGTATGTGTGTGTGGGGGGAGGGGGAGAGGGGGCAAGGGTTACGCCACATCTTAGAAAGGAGGGTCGTGCTCCTGTGTCCACTGCTAGGTCTGTCTCATTCCAGGCTCTGGCTACAGCACAGAGCTTGCGGCTGCATCGCTGCGGCTGCACTTCGGTAAGCTTTCTAGCCAAGCGCATCCGCTCTAAGCTGACGGGAGAGAGCTCTCCCATTGGCTTGATTGCTCCAGCCCCCGGGAGTGGCCGTAGAAGCACTTTCACTGACACAGCACTGCCCACTCCAGTGCTGAAGATGGCACGAATTACACCACTCAGGACCAACGTGTGTGTGTATTTTTTAAAGGACCCCATGGTCTCAGGCCGCCTTTGTTTTTAGACATATAATCCATACAGTTGGTAAGAACAGATGCCATTTCCCCCCCCTCCTCGCCCCTCCATCTCCTCCTTTGGCATGTCACTGAAAGGAGAACAAACAAACGCTGAACAAGATCCCGCCCCTTTCTTACCCGATGGGGATGATACTTAGGCAGCTAGCGACACAAGACAAAAGGAAACAAAACCCGCTGAACCAGTCCAGTGTCTTTTGATAGATCTTGTTGTAGGCTGTAGATGTAGCTACACCAGTGATCACTAAAGACAGCTGCAGCAAGACAAATGCCTTCCCTGTAAACAAGCAGAGAAATCATTACTCTCGGCCAGAGCCTCAAAACAAAGAAGGAAAACCACTAGTGGTGGTGTCAGCATGGAGGGAAAGCCACATCCGTGTCTAGAGCCAGTCTCTCGGATGCATAATCACTGTCGTTTTGAATAGCATGGAACCTGTAGAAAAGACCACCCCTGTGTCAGACCTACTACAGATTGAACCTCTCTAGTCCGGCACCCTCGGGATCTGATGGGTGCCAAACCAGAGAATTTGCTGAACCATGGGAGGTCAATATTGTCTAGCAGCATTACCAGCACTTGCCCTGCTTACCGGGCTCTTAGAAGACATTCAGGGCTAAGTACCAGGACTGGTGGCTGTAAACAAACTTTATGGGGCTTTGGGAATCTTGTCCACACTCATGAAGAGTGAGCATCGGGCTAACTAAAATCACGCCAGACCATGGAGGTTGCCAGACTAGAGCATTTCAACCTGTAGCCTTAGGGAGGTGCCTTAGCTCCTCTCCTGTAGTTGTGGCCCACATCTGCCAAGGAACCAAGAACAACTGAATGCTTAAGTAGTTGCCATTTGTGTGTTTGTTAGAGCTTTCTTCTTGACCGCCTAGACAAATGCCCCTGCCATCTGTTCTCATTAAATGAAAACTCAGTTTTGGGGGGGGGAGAACGGGCGGCTGAAGCAAACCCACAGCACTACATGCTCCAGAGAAGAGTTTAAATTCGGTTGCATTTAGTTTCTAAGACTTTTTCTTGTGCATTCACTCGACCCCAGAGCTGCCCATGCCTGTGGCAGTTAGAGGGCAATCCAAACCGCTACATTCAGATCTTAACCTCTTTCACTACCCGCCAGCCTTTCTGCAGGATCAAACAGGAGAAGAAAATGTTGTGAGGGGGGAAAAAGAGTTAACTGGTTAAAGCATTATTATGGAGGCCAAACATGTGAAACATGCTGCCATTTTCCTATGAAAGGGATTAAGAAAACTGGTCGGCAGCCAGGGAAGAAGTGGGGATGTGTTAGTCAAACTCCTCCCAGTTCAGTCTCCTCTTTCTGCAGTGTTAGGTGTTGGTAACTTGTCGTCACTAGGTTTCAGGGGCACTAGCATGTGACGCCGAATAGGCACAACCCATATTTGCCTTAGTTTAATTCTGTCCCTACGGAATCGACTGCCAAGTGAAACCATTGGTCTATTTCACACGTGAAGCTTTATCTTTATGACCGTGAGGATGAGCAATGTAACTATTTTCAACGAAAAGCTCCAGTTCTTCGACAGCTAACAACAGAGGCCCAGCCATGAAGAACTATCACACGATGCCATTGCTTTAGCATGTGCTTCTGCTGAGGTGGACGGAGAGTAAAGACTGATGTAACTCTGCTCTCTGAAGGAGGGAGATCAGAGATGTGTTGTTAACTCAGCCACACTCGGTTAAAGATCTGTTTTCAAATGGCTCATCAGTGTTTCATGTTTTAATAAATGGTGAATTGCTCCTCTCCAAACAATGGCATGTAACAATGGTTTTATCACTCTACTGCCCATATTACCCATGTCTAGAACACGCTAATAAGATCTAATAATTCTCTAATAATTTTATAAAAGGAACCCGAATAGAGCACGTCCATTTAGCCTCATCTCAGGGGCTGTGATTGGGGCCTTCTTTTTCTCCGGGAATCAGCTCCAATCTCAGCCATTGCTTGCAAACCACTAGTGTGCTGATGGCCCTACACACTTCTAGTGTGGACAGGCAAACGGTCTGAAAGGAGAAGCAGTCCTCCTATTGCAAACTGCAGTCCACACTTCTAGCTCTGTCTACATGGGCAAAAACAGGCGTGTGAACTTAGCTTCTAAGCAGGAGCGGCCCAAGGCCGGCTGCAGCAGCTGGCAACCTAGGCGGGGTGGTGCAATCGCCACCCTGCCTGAACAGCCGTCAATGGCTGTGACGTCATCATCGGGCGCCCCGGGGCGCCGCTCGCAGGCCGCCCTTGCTTCTAAGGCTTTTCCTTAAGCCCTTTCCTTTACGGTAGCCTGACCAGAGCCCCTCCCTTTAAGCCTGTTTGGGCAACAGTGCAGAACCTTTCAGATCTCACAATGTAACCAGCTCAAACAATCTCAAAGATATTCAGTGGCGGGGAGGAGGGGAGGAAGGGTTTCCAGTTGCTGGTCCAAAACATCCCCCTTTTGCCAATAGAGACAGGGCCTAGGCATTTGCACTCCTGCTTACATCTATAGGGATGAGGGCTGTCATACCGAGAGTAGTTCTGATAACTGTGGAATCACCAGTGCTTGAAGGGCGCAGCAGCACAGGTAGAAAGGCAGTGCATGGTTTGCTCCAGCCTTGCTTCCCTGCTCTTCATCCAGCCGTGCTGTGAAGTTGAGCTGTGGCATAAGTGTCCACACTAGGTCCTTCTCCTACTGCCATCTGATTGCACCGAGTGATCTCCTAGAAGCAGTCCTGGAAGACCTGCGGCTGGGGCTAATACTGGATACACCCCGAGAGGCATGGGGGCAAGCTTGTCCTTGCACCCCAAAAGGCCTCTTCCGGTTCTAAGGAGTAGGACTTATTAAGCAGAAAGCAGATGGCAGCTCTTCCACCTGCACGGAACGAGAGCAATAACCATAATTGGGTTGCGGTCCCATTTGCCTCACCCCCATACACGCAAATCGTGTTACTCACCATAGGCCGACCCTCGGACATGTTTGGATAACACCGATCGGATGGTTGGCAAGGGGATGAGCGCAAACAGCATTACGGACCGAGCTGTAACACAAACAGATGGGTCGCTTATGTCAAACCATCCGCCCGCTGCCCCGTCTTGACTAAGTCATAAGCTGCAGATCCGGGGTGGGGAGCCAATCACAGGCGACCGCTGTTGTGTCTAGGATTCACTATGCGAGGTGGGCACTGTGGGGCTCTTGGTCACAGAAGCTATTCTTGGTTTCAGTTTCTCTCCACTAGGAATAAATAATCCTCGTGTTCCTGTAGGTCCCTGTCCCAGTCTAAGGGCCCTCCCCCCACTCACATGAACACACCATAACAGGGATGAGGGATACTCCTCTAGAGGCCAAGCCTCAGGGCTTGTGATCTCAGGATCCTAGCTTCATGCACAGAAAGGATGTTGTGTGTGTCCCCTACGAAAGCAATGGCTCTGCCATTGGGCAGTCCTTAGATTGTGCGCTCTTTGAGGCCAGGCCTGTCCTTTTGTTCTGTGTTTGTCCAGCACCTAGAGCTCCTAGGTGCTACCACTAGACCAGTATTAACCTCTTACAAGCAATGCAGGGGTAGAGGTTGATGATGGCAGCTATTTAACTATGAATGCTTTTGCTTGTTCCCCCAACTCTTATTTAAATTGGCTTTATGTTGAATAAGCAAAACCGTTTGGAAAGTCTAGTCCCCTTGTGTTTCTTTACTGTTCTTGGTCTCCATTAAGAATAACTGTCACTGGCCTTTCAGCTTCCATCGATACTAGGGATATGAAGGTTTAATCCGTAAGATCCAGTAGATCCTTTAATCCCTTGATCCAGTAGGCCCTCTCCCGCAGACACACATAGATCAGTTTAACTTACTTCACTGGGCAGGAAGGGGGTGGAATATTCACCCTCCCAAGCACCATACGTTTTGCACACACAGGCTATCATGTAGATGCAGCCTTCCTTACTTCAACCGACGTTGGATAGATAATGCTACTCTTTGAAGCTGCTCCAGTAGCTATAGTTGACAATTAACAAAGCTTGCCCGGCCACCAGAACTTATGCCTTATTGTTAAATAACCACCACATTAGTTCAATCGAACCAAGACGAGAACTAGGATACGTCATCCATGGTCAACATGACCGACGGAGGCCAACAACAACAGTTCAATCACACCTAGTCCAGAGGAAACTTCCTGTTCATCTTTGCCTAGACAGGTAACCACAGCTTTTTGCCTTCTCATCCTCAGACTTTTCCTCACAAAGAGCAATATTACACATCAATAATGGGGTCTGAGTAGTATTAATAGCAGAAAAGAGGGTTTTTTTCCTCCTATACAAACCTGCCACTGTTCAACAGTTTAGATCTGGGAGATGTTCTAATTAAAAATCATCAGCACTAACTAGTCTTTAAAACAAATGTTATACACACACACACACACACACACACTCCACAGTGAGATCTACTTGCCATCCCTGCACTACACATACGCCAGGGGCAACCTGCTGAAATCTACTCGCCACGGGCAAGTAGATTCACTGATTTGTCGAGCCCTGCTTATTAGCACATACTAATAAATCAATGAATAAATAAATAAATAAATAAATAAAGGATAGGTAGAATATCCCAAACCCCTCCTTGAAGCCAACACTGTTAATCCAGCAAAAACGGGGGAAAAGATGGGGCTGACCCAACCCCTCAGAGCTCATGGAGTGAGGTAAAATTCAGAGCTGAGCTGAATTCACACCTTGGGCTCAAAATGGCTGCTGGTGCAGTGCGGGTTAGTGGGGGTCTGCTGCCATCTAAGGGGGACCAGAATGGGGAGTCCTAGCTCTTGATGACCTTTCTGTCACCCAGGTGAGGCTGGAACAAGCTTGACCAGAGAGCCAAAATGAGGAATGTGTGGGGGAGAGGATGGTGGGGGGGGAATAACAGAGGAGGAAATTGCTTCTCACAGCGTCACCATTTTGACCTCATCATATTTAAGCCCTAATGTAACAGGAGAATTGTGTGGGTGAATAGTTTCCTGTGGCTAGAAGAGCCTCTCAGGAAACGAGCTACGGCTTCTACACAGCATTGGGCTGAAGCATGTCCCTGTCGGCACCTCTCGTTTCTCAGCCTGCCTGCCGCCTATGGTCCCTCCCCGGGGCCACAACCAGTCGTGTCCCCGCTCCACTCACCCACGTAAAACAGGAACGTCCAGCGCACAAAGGCCATGATGAAAATGCCAATGCTGAAGGACAGCATCCCGATGATGATCATGGTGGTGTCTCTCAAGTACTTGGAGAACACAAAAACCCCCAGGAAGCTGGTAATGAAGATCATGTAGCCAGCTGCGTTGCCGTAGCCAATATCCACTGGGCCCCAGCTCAATGGTTTCTTAAGCAGAAACAGTGGGAGCACGTCTATGGCTCCAGCGACTGCCAGGTCATACAAGACAGCCCCGACGAAGAGCATTGCAATGATGAGTTTGGAGGGTACCTGGGGAGCATGGCCCTCGTCCTCACAGGAGCCTGAATTCCTTCCAGTTCTCCCATCCTCCTGTAGCTGGCTGTCAGGCTGAGCTACATCCTTGGTTTTGCTGGGCACCAGGCAGGCGCCTTCGGGCGTAGGCACTTTCAGAACAAAGAAGCTGTAGAGGAGGCAGACGGCATAGAAGACAATGCTGCAGATCACCAGCACGGTGCCCTGTCGGTAAGTTAAGTGGGAGTGGATAAAGATGTGCCCGGACGCTATGCTTCCCACGAAGCCTGCTATCCCATAGGTCAGCTCGATAACAATCAGCCGCAGGGACCTCCTGCGCTCAGAGGAGCCCAGGGACCCCAGAGCCATGACGCCGGCCCAGTAGGTGGTAAAGCCCCCCGTCAGCCCGTTTAAGGCCGCCGCCCCGAACATCACCTCAATGGGACACTCCAGCAGGATGGGGAGGAGCAGGAGGGAGCGGGAGAGCAGGTAGCCGAGGAGTGGTAAGCAAATGGCGATCTTCCTGTCCTTCCAGTCGCTGAGCTTTGCCAGGCCGTAGGCCGTCAGCAAGGGGCTCAGGCCCAGGACCAAATTGTAGATGATGTAGAAGTCGGAGATGGCTTTCTGCTGCGTGTCCTCCAGCACGTGCGCCGGGGCGGTGGCGTTGGTCCGGTTGTAGTAGTTCTTCACCACTAGCAGCAGCCCTGTGTCGTAAAAGGAGCTGGCTAGCTGGGCGCCAGCCACCACGGGCTCAATCCAGGTCCTCACCGCCAGCCCTCCAACCATGGTGGCTGCTGCCGAACCGGCCCTTGGGTAGCT